AGACGGATATTTTCCTTAAACTGTTCTGCTTTATTTGTTTTTAGGGAAGGTTAACGACATTGGTGTTAATTTTTTTTTTTTGTTAAATCTACGATAGCAAATTCCGAACTGTAACTAATCTACTAATCACTACGCCATCGAAAGAGATACCAGGTGAATACGATTTTATTTTGTTAATATATCAAGCCGTCAAAAAATGCTGATTTCTTATTCATCAATTTCAACGTCAAATTAGCTTTAAAACCACAGTTAGCTACTCTATTTTCTTTTATTTATTCATGTCAGTTAATTTCAACGTCAAATTAAGTAGCTCTAGAACCACAGTCAACTAGTCGTATTTTCTCTTATGTACTTACGATTGAATAATATCTGCTATACGGTTTTTAAGTCCGCGTGATTTAATGGCTGCAAAATGTAAATTTTACAGTATTTAAGATTTAAACAAATGTACGAAATTTTTTAATTGCTGGCAAACAGGTAATTTTTTTTGCTCTACTTTTCATGCACCCTGTCTGTGTCGATTGTGTTAGATAGATAATCTCCGAAACTACTGGAGTGATTGTTATGCAATAGGAAGAGGGAGGAATATCGCGTAATTGATAAAACCCTGACTAAAATTTGACTGATCATCCCCAACAATAACTTGATGACGTAGTCCCAAAAGTTTGCATAATAATTACTACTTAAATTTTAGAAAATAACATAATATCTGTACTTGTGGTTTATGAATCTGCCTCCCCATCTAAAATGTACAAAATATTATAATTATAGGCTATGCTTGTGGCTTACCAATGCATTCATATTTTTTTGACTACCTTATACAGGCTAACTCAAAAAAATTAATGAATGAATCAGTTATTTTATTATTATTTTATGATTTGTTGGACTGTTTTCTAGGGATGAGGAAAATTCTGTCTAAATAACCATACTCCATTTTTTTAAAATATGAACGCAATTATTCCAGATTTTTAAGGTTTTTGAAAAAAAAATCATTCTGTGAATTTAAGCAATATATCCGCAGTTGAACGTTTCACCAACCGATCTATTCAGCCACTGTTTTGTGTTCCTTTTATACTGTTATATAATGCTGTTATACAATTTGGATAACACTGTATGACTGGAGTAAACAAACAAGTGGAATTCATAAACTACAAGTTACAAGAGTATGTTCTTTTATAAAATTTAAATAGCATTTACCATGCAAAACTCTGAGGTGGCGTCATTAAATTGTTGGTGGGGATGATCAGAAAAATTTTGATTAGCGTGGCATTCCTAAAAATACTTAAAATAGGGCAATAATCAGTCTGGTAGTTACAGAGATCTGTGTAATAATAAATATCGAGACAGACGACAGACGACAAACGGACAGACGACAGACGACAAACGGACAGACGCAAACGGGTGACCCATTTTTTCATACTTTAGGGATAATAAAACAACCAAAATTTTGACGTTTTTTTATATTTAGTTTTTATTTCTCGAGCGGAAACGAATTCGTCCATCAGAAAATGAAAAAATAGGTCTCCCATTGCCGTCCTCTGTCCGTCTGTCGACTGTCTGTGCTGATTTTTATTAGAAAAATATCACCGAAACTATTGGACCGATTGTTGTCAAATTTTATGGTAAAACAATAACTAAAATTTTTCTGATCATACGCACTGGATATTTGATGACGTCTCCTTAAAATTTTCTACAATGACATTATTTAAATTTCATAAAATAATATATTACACTTGTGATTTATGAATCCTGCTTGAGTGAGTGTTTTTCACCTAGACATCAAAAATTCAAACTATACAACAACCTTGTATAAGTGACGATGAAAATGGCGGATCTTTCTTTTTTTCTTACAGTGTCAGTGCTATTATTTATTTATTTTATGTGTGGAGGTTATCACAAATAAAATGTCGCGAAATCAAATGTTATACTTTTGTTTTAATATGTGTAGACTTGTTTTCACAACATGACACTTAAAACATTTTTAAAATGGAAAATTTGTGTAAGGAAATATCAATTTTGCAATTAGGCTCCGCCCCACTTTAACCATGTTGTAATTTTCTTGTTGTCAAAAGATACCCCGCCCATCTGCCCCGTCTCAATTCTGATGATTTTTTTTTATTCGTCGTAAGCCGAGGGGTGGGGCTTAATTGCAAAATCCTTATTTTTCTACGAGAAATTACCATGTGAAATATGTTCTTTAGTAAAATATGCTTTACTATTCCTAGGTTGTCTTATCGTACCTATTGTTGCTTTTATTTGGCAACTTCTCGCGTAGACGTTTATGAAATATCCATACAATTTTTAATCAACATAAGAACGACTTTGATCTACTACTTTAGCTATACTACTTTTTCTATGCTACTTTTTTTTTTATTGTTTTCGTCTTCTTCACCACCTACCTGGACTCTAATTCCCTAAGAATAATTAACTTTTTCAGTTGTGTAGTACATTAGATTTAAAGTCAGATTGAGCTCCTTTTTGCTTTTTTTAATGCAGTGTTTTCCCTGTTTTTTTTATTCACATTGTCATCTCCTTTAGTACGCTTTTTTTGTCTCTTTTTGCTGCTTTTTTGTACGTTTTTTTTTGGTATTTTTTTTGTTACTTTTTTTTAATGCAATATTTGTCGGTTTTTTCACTGTAGTGCTTTTTTGTTTACCTTCTTCTTATCTTATTTTTTGTTGCATTTTGCCGCTTTTTTGTAGTCTTTCTGGTTGCATTTTTGTTGCCTCTTTTTTTAAATGTTTTTTTCTCGTGTTTTTTGTTTCCTTTCTTTTTCTCTTGCTTTTTCCTTGACTTTTTTATCGCCTTTCTGAAATTTTTTTGATAGTCTTGTTTTTTATTGCATTTATTGTCTATTTTCTGTTGTGTTTTGTCGCATTTTTTGTTTCCTGTTTCGTAATTTTTCTTTGTTGTGGTTTTTAGTCGTTTTTTGAGTTTTTTTTTTGCCTTTTTTGATATATTTTGACGCCGTTTTGTTTCCTATTTTTGATATTCTTGACGTCATTCTATGTCCACATTTTCATGCTCTTTTTTGTTTCCTTTCTTTTTCTCTTGTTTTTTTGTTGAGTTTTTATCGTTTTTTTGATTATAGTCGATTTTTCGAACTTCTAACCTCTCAATTTTTCAGTTTTTCAGTTTCTAATTTTTCTATTTACGAATTTCGATTTTTCCGATTTTGGATTTTTTGATTTTTGGATTTTCTATTTTTTTTTAACATTTCAGTTTTCAATTTTTCGACTGCGGATTTTTCGATATTCTATTTTCGATTCTTCGATTTTCGACTATCAATACTACTAGTAAAGCCCAGAAATGTATTTGCTCATCCCCCCCCTAAAAAATTGATGACGTTACCTCAAAATTTTGCTGAATAAATCTTATTTTAAATGTGCAAAATATAATCAGTCTAAAAAAAATTTTGGGAATACAATATTGTTATTTTTCAGTTACCATTTTACACTAAATGAAATAAGTCAGTGAAATGAAGAAAGGAGGTGGGCGAGGCTAAATTTAGCTTTTTTCTAGTTTTATGAGCAAGCAGTAGCCCCACCCACCCACCCCTTCTTCGTTCCAGTAACTACTCTTAATATTCTTCAATCCTATATTAGCAAGTTTTAACCCCGCCCACCCACCCTTATTCTCTTAGAGAATACGTCATTTACCAAAATCAATCTTATCTTAACAAATACTAGCCCCGCCCACCCGCCCTCTTTTTTCTTAGAGGATATGTCGTTTACTACAATCAGTTTTTTCTTAGCAAGTATTAGCCCCTCCTACCCATCTTTATTTTCTTAAAGGATATGTCATTTAACAAAATCATCTTATTTTAGCAGATACTAGCCCCGCCCACACACCTTCTTCTCATTCTAACGATTTTATCTCTCTTCAATTGAGATCCAACTTTCATTCGGATTAGACAAAATGAATCAGTGAAATGGACGCCGGGTGGGTGGGTGGGGTGAATTATATGTTCTTTTGTAAAGTGAGAATGGGAACTAATAGAACGTAGGCTGTTATAAAAAATCGTTAATCTTAATTTTTTTGTTATACTACTTATTTGCCATAACATTTATTTCTTATTTCTGCGGAATTTGCTCGGAGATTCTGTAGAAATAACATTCTCGGAATATATTGGTCATTCTTTCAAAAATTTGATGATATTCTCAAAATTTTATTCATTACAGTTGGCTTGACGTTAATATAGTAGTTTTTTAATTTTGGCAAGGTAAAAAACTGTACCAATTATGACATTTGAAATGTTTCTATCTCCGTCTCTGTCCGACACAATATGTTTACGCAGGTAAAGTTTTACAACACCTTGCCAAAATTAAAAGTATTCTACTATCGTCTGACCATGCTTTTATTTTGTGATTAAATAAAGTATCCATACTTTTATAGACATTCTGGAAACAAAAATTTGGTAACGTTATTAGAAAATTTTATCAAGAAGAGTTCATTTACCACACCAGAGAGCTTGTTTTGTAATACTTGATTTTCATTTATTTTTAACATGTAAAACTTTTGAAAAAAATCAATTTGTAGAAACAAATTTTTTAATTTACGCATTTGTATATAACCTCTTTTCATACTAAATAAAATCTAAAATTTTAGTAATAAACGGGATAGTTCAAAATCCGTTTCAGTTTTCAACAGAAGCTTGGTTATTTGCTCATTTATTGTTCGTGTTGCTCTGAGGTTATCATCAAGATAACATAATTTTCTGCCTTGTTAATTAAAGCAAATGGTTAAATCTTCCACCTACAACTAGATACAACAGCGACAATTTTCCCAAACAGGTTCTACTAACGGATTCAAAATCTAATCTTTCATCACAGCTTCACGCCTTCAGACGTAGAAAACCTCACCATCAACGACGCTTCCATTTAAATGAAAACGTTTCAGAAACGCGGCTTCCGACTCAAAGTCAAGCCATCCACCTTAACGAAATTAATTCGCTTGCTATAAAAAAAGGGTAGCAAAGTGTAAACAGTCAGTTTACTCACCGATATCCGAAGAGCCTCCCCATGTTCCCTGCTGAGCTTGGCGAGCAAGTTTACTGATTGCATCCACGTAGAGCCGTGATGCTGCGGCAGCACCTGAAAAAATAACCGTCCTTCATGAAATATATTCAGCACTCTTTTCAGACGATTTTACATAGCGTTCTTGCTGAAAAAGTGCTTTTAAGCTGATTCCCACTTTATCCGTGAAGCGCGCGCTCGAAAAACTTCGTGTTTAATATCAGCATTATGTAGCTATTGTCGCAGGAATTATTCTAGTTGCTACATGAAAAAGCTCAAATTACGACTAATTAGTCTTGGAGAGAGCTGCCGGAACGGGGTCGCAGCTGTGAATTCGCCCTTAATTAGGTCTTTTTTAATTCGGAATTAAAAAACAAATTACGTGGGAGGACGCGTTTTAAAAATAGCGAGGTCTAGAAGCAGACATAGAAATGAAACGAAATTACGTTCCTGCTAAAAGGACATGAAACGCTAAATTAATTGTTTGTTTTCATTTGAAAGAATTGCATCCATCAAAAAAGTCGCTCAGCTTTTGTCTGATAGTTGCACCAGTTTTTATATTATTTGTTTTTGTGACTATGTACCAGTCCTTTGTACTTTAATCGAGTTAATAAAAAAGCGCTTGAACAGAATGCTTCGTTAGAGTGATTAATAGAAAGCAAAATAAATTTTCGCTGTGGCTTGAAACCTGAGAAATGGGCATACCTTTAAGGTGCCTAAGGCAAGAGGAACGAGCGTCCATCACTCTACTAGTTCATAATCACTTTAAGTACTCGGTAGTTGGAAGCAATTTATTTTAGTTGAATTAATGTGTTTAGCTACAATTTAATACAAACATAGTTCTCAAATCTTCGGACTCATGAATATGGAAGGTTCACTTCCAAATAAAATTTCCGCGTTTTTTGTATCAAACAGGATTTTCGTTTGTAATTATTCATATTATGCAACCAATTGTAATAGATATGTACATATTGTGTTCAATCATTACTGTCATAAGCATTCGTGTTCTGTAGTGATATACGATAATTGCTTCTAATCAATAAGTATCTAACATGATTTAGAACAAGCAGTGTGGATCTCATTGCGGGATAATAAATCATAATTAGAGAAAGGTGGGGAAAGACAGGGCACTTAAGCTTGAATAGGAATAGAAGACAAGTTTTAAGATCAAAAATAAACATGAACTAAGTAGATAAATGTGACGTTTAATTTTCCATAACAATGAAATGAACTCAGTAAATACGGAACATTTTTCTCCATCGTGCCTTACCTACTGTGAGATACACTACGATTTTAATTGTAAATAATCCCTAATGGTGAATATTACTTAAATAATTTTTTTTTGAAAATTTTAGCTTTTGTTTCAAAATTATTTTGTGCTCAAAATACAACCACTCAACTACCTTTTATATAACTTGTTTTGTATCATTCAGGATAAGAAAAATCTAATTGAAATATTCACAGATTACTATTTAATAAATCGCAAATATTTTTACGAAAATTAAAAAACGAGATGTTGGACCGTTAGCGATATGATTAAATTCAAGATATTGCCCTATTGTCCCACCTTCCCCTACATTACTTTTGTAAAAACGTTTTTGCAATAGGTTGCGTACAATTTAATTTTCTGTCCTCTGTCGTTGTTGACTCTTGCGTCGATGGAAAACCTTAATTATTACAACAAGAGTAAAATTTAATTATATACAGGTGTTCCAAATTTATGTATGGCAAATTTATAGGTAGGTAAAATTTCTTTAAAGTCACTAAAGAAAAGTTGGATAAGCAGTTTTCTGCAAGATATACTAGTTTATAATATAATATGTATATAAATATGTAAAAATGTATTGCTGAAATTAAAAATTACTGTTTAAAAAATTAAACTGTATATACCGGGTGTCTGGAAAATGGCGGATTAAATCTCCGCTACGCTCTTAACAATCAACTGGTGAGTCTGGGAACAATAGTAAAAAAATCCTTCTCACATTTTGGTGGAGTTATAATGATTTTAAAATATTTTGCTACGTTTAACAACTAAACAACACATTTATTATCACAAAAATGTTTGTAATAATTTGATAAAATTCCATCTGAAAACCTTACGTTTAAAATATTGGCACTTAATTTTAGGTCCTCTGGCGTTTTATTTTCAAAAATCTTTTGAGCTTTTAGTGTTTTATTTTTTATGAATTTGAAAGTTTTGAGTTTCTTTTTTAATTCGGGAGACTCTTGGGTACCCAAGGTGTATTATTTTGAGAGCCCATGGAGATTTTTTTTGTAAATAATTTAAACAAATTATGGGGGACCTTGGTGTTCTTTTTTTAGAAAATTCTGACCTGACCTGTTTTTGAGTTAATTTTGAGGCCCCGTTTTTTTTGAAAAATTTAAAGCAATGTTGAGGTTCTAGGTATTCCTGTTTGGAAAGAATTTGAAAGTGCTTTGGAGCCTCTACCGTCTTTTCTTATAATAATTAAATTAAATTTCTTAGTCATTTACTAAAATCAGTCTTGTCTTATCTTAGCAGGTACTAACCCCCTCAGAAAATATAGGGCGGGTAGGCGGGGCTAATGCTTGCCAAGATAAGGCTGATTTTGACAAATGGCATACCCTCGAAGAAAATAAAGGGTGGGTGGGCGGGGCCAATACCCTCTACCCTTCATTTTCTTAGAGGGTATGTCATTTGACAAAATCAGTCTTATCTTGCCCGTCATTTTCTTAGGGAATAGGCCATTTGCCAATATCAGTCTTATCTTAGCAGGTATTAGCCCCGCTCACCCACCCTCTCTTTTCTTCGAAGGTATGTCATTTGCCAAAATCGGTCTTATTTTAGCAGATACTAGTCCCACCCATCCTCCCTCTTTTTTATTAGAGGATATGTCATATGCAATAATCAGTCTTATCCTGGCAGTTACGAGCTCCGCCCATCCACCTTCTCTTCTCTTAGAGGGTATCTCATTTGCCAAAATCAGTCTTATCTTGGCAGCGGCTAGCCCCGCCCACCCACCCTCTCTTTTCTTAGAGGGTATGTCATTACTAAAATCAGTTTTATCTTAGCAAGTACTGATAACTAACGTTTATGAAAAATGATCAAAATTTGGAAACATTAAGCTTACTTATATGCAGAAGGCAGGAATTTTGAACATCTTCTATTGTGTTTAGTTAGTTATGCTTTAATGGATTTTTCTTTTGTTGGTTTTGTTAACTTGATGTTCACTTACTAAGACAAAATTCCCAAAATTAAATTTTATAGTTTTTCGAAAAAGCTGGATATGTTGTATTTAGTATATTTTAGAGACGAGGGAAGTTATATGTAAATAACCGTAGACCAATTTTCTTATACTACGATTGGTATTGTCTATATTGTTTGTTCTAAACAACTGGATTTTTTTTTATTGTTTACTTCTGGGGCGAGGGAGTTCTGTCTACTAACTTAATAAAATAAGACCTTTTTTTTTCGTTTAGCGTGAATATTTTTTTATTTTGAATCGCATGTGATAATTAAGAAAGTTAAAGGTTTAAATATTAAATTATAAAAAACATATAGGTGATCAAAAAATGGCGCCCTAACTCATCGGAAAACAATTCACAACTCGTAGTTCAAGAAAATACACTAAAAAATAAAAAAAGTCGACATTCACTTACAAAAACAAAATATTTCAATTATCGTAAAAAAGATTAAGTTAGCAAAATCAAATTTTATAATTTTTCGAAAAACCTGGTATATGTTGTATTGTACTTTAGATTTAGTGTGAATATTTTTCATTTTGAATCACATGTGCTAACTAAAAATCTTAGAGGTTTATATTAATTTATGTAGAATTCTTATGCTTTGAAACTGAATCGTTAAATCCTGAAAAACATATAGGTTAATACAGTATGATCAAAAAATGGCTTAACTAACTCATATTTATTTCTATTCTACGTCAAATTGACGCTCAAAAACATAAAAGAATGTCGATTTACACAGATGGATTAAAAAATTGGTCAAAAGTTATTTGAACAGAACTTCCCTCGGCCCTGAAGTATAATCCAACAAATCCTGCTTCAAATTATAAAATTTGATATTGCTAATTTTTTTGTGATGGTGTTTAGAAAGTAAAAAAAACAGACTGTTTTACACATTTTATAATCCAAGAAAATTTGGTGATAGCGTCATTAATTTAACGGGAGCGATTTACCTTGCTTACGATAAAATCGATCTTAAAACGTTTACGAGACTTCGAACCAATTGTTTTTCCTTTTACAATGCTAAATTATAAACTGTTATAAAATTTTGATTTTTTTCCAAAGATCTGGACATCAACACGGATTCATAAATCACAAGTGCAGGAGTGTGTTATTTTATAAAATTTTAAATAACATTTATCCGGAAAAATGTTGTGATGCCGTTAATTTTTTTTTTAAGGAAATAAACAGATAACCTTAAGGTTGCAGAGTATTCGGTTTTGCAGTTTAAAAGTTAATTTGCAAACTTTTAGCATATTTTTCAATTTTTTTTTTTTTTTTACAAAAATCTGAAAGTCTCGGATAAAAACTTAATACGGATTCATAAACCGTATTCTAAATTTTGGATGTCATACCATCGTTTCTGGGACTGATTAAACAAATTTTCACGTCACCCTTAAATAGAAGAATGACAATTAATTTCGTTGAACAAAATTACATTAATTCTTGATCAAACTAATGCATTTGTCATAATATTAAAATAACACTTCGAAATCTTTTAGTTCATGTTTTCCTAGCTTCTCTTTCTATCCGGGGACGACTTCATTAGACAGATATTCTCTGAAATTTAAATGTTAAGTGTGGCGCCCTAACTCATCGGAACACAATTCACAACTCATAGTTCAAGAAAATACACTAAAAAATAAAAAAAGTCGACGTTCACTTACAAAAACAAAATATTTCAATAGGGGGTTATCGTAAAAAAGACTAAGTTAGTAATACCATAAAAATGGTAAAACGTTAACCAAAATTTTTATTTTTCTTCATTGAAAGTTGATGTTATTTCAAACTATTCTGAAATAAATATCCTTTCACAGTACATGTAAAAATGTGTAGCTTGAATTAATTTAAGGGCG